AACAAGCCATTAGAACTCGACGGGAGTAAAACTAAATCCTCGTTTAAGTGTATTTATCCGCTCTCTTTTCTCTCTTTCAAATGCTAAATCCATTTCAGCATATGCCCCTTCTTTCTCTCGCCTTTCTCTAAAGACTGGCAGCCCGCACTACTCTTGTAAATATGAAAGATGCTAATCATATGACATATCACGTCTCAGTCGGAGCCTGGAATAAAGCCTTGAGATTTGGGATCATTGCCTCCAGACAACAGCTTCATCAGCCGGAAAGTTGGGTTTTTTTCTCCTTTCCTTCAACTCTCAATCCCTTCTTTGTCTGAGGGAAAATGCAGCCAACTCGAGCCACCCCGGCCATATGGTTCACTCTGTGTTTTCTTAGTTGAATCCTGAATTGTTTGTGACTTGCGAAGAGGTTTTTTGGGGTGGGTTTTTGTTTTTGTTTTTTTTTTTCTTTTTTCTTTTTTTTGGAAGTGTGTATAAAGACATAGTAGAGGCTGCCCGGACCAGGGCGGCTCTGCAGGGTAACTCCATGTTCTTCACCCACTTCTCGCACCACCTCACCATACAGCCAAAAAGTATAAACCCAGAGACACACTGTATATCGATAACCCATTGCAGGTACCTGGTATTTTTCCCCTTTTCTGGGCAAAAATATCCAGGTGGTTTTCCCTTTTCTGGGTGGAAGTGCCTTCTTATAACACCGTTTGCTGTGTCTTTTTCTCACATCTGTAAAACAGAGTTATTGCTCACTGGCAAATCCATTCTAGAAATGCCTCGACTAAGAGAAGCCCCCAAGTATTTTCAGCAAGGAAAAGTGGCTTTTAAGACGCGTATAAATTAGGAGCTGAATGAGTTCGGCACACCCGAGTTTGGATAGCCCCCCTGTTTGATAGCCAGCCTGCCAAATTTTCTTTCTCTCTTTCCTTACACAAACCCCCCAAAAAAAGGCCCTTTCACCAAATCATTAAATTCTACAGAGGTGGTCAAGCTAGTCCTGCTTTTCAGGCGTTCGAGAAAGAAAAGGGTCCTTGAAGTTTAGAAGATGCCCAAGGAAAACTCATTGAATGACATCAAAAGAATGAGTTTCCATAGCTGTTGAAGCACGAGAGCCGTGTAGCTGCACAAAGGCGGGTTGGGGCAGTGGGACTGTCCCACTGCTCTATCCCAGCACAATTGGGTCACTGAAATAGGGAATTAATTACCATTGGAGAGTGGGCAGCCCATTCACCACTGGCTGAGTTTTATTAAACGCCAATATAAATAACAAAACAACTCTTGTGGCTGCACTATTCCTACACGCCAAAGGAAGGATTATGTTGGGGATTAACATCTTAAAGTCTATGAGACTTTCTGACTCAAGGCTCGGAGCTGGTAATCGTATTTGTCTCCTGGTTCAGCGATTAGTGCTCTCCCTCGCGCACCTTCGCCTGGATGGCCAATGTCCCTTTTTGCAGGCACTGGGTTTTTCACACAATCGGCTGTTCTTTTCCCCACATCTATAGAAAAGAATAAGAAAACTGAAGCGTGTTCACGCGATCCTCAAGCTTCTTCTCTTCTTCATGGGAAAGGAAGGCACCGGCGGCCTTTTTTCACAAGGGGGGGGAGGCAAACCCTCTTGGGGAGGCGGGGGGGGGGGCCAGGATGGCAAAATCGCTCTGCAGGCCTGCACCTGCCATGCAAATCTGCCGGGAACAATTGGTCCCCAACGAGGGGCTCGTCTGCCTGGGGTGGGGGGAGCCAGGGAAAGATGCCGAGGCAGTGCTTCTGGGGGAACCCCTCCTCGCCTTGATCCCAAAACCCCAAAAGTGTTAGTGCGGCTTGGGATCTGGGGGGCCAGTCCTCATCCTGTCCTTCTCTGCAGCACTTTTCGCTGGGTGCACAGAGGGTTTGGGAAGGACCTGGATCGGGGCATAGGGGACACACACTGCAGCATTTTCCATTTCTCCCCTCTGTAGAGCATTCTGATACCCTGCTGGATTTGGATGTATTCCATCCCCCCCATTTAAGAGCAGAACCATCCCACTTGCAGGGTTTCTGGGTGCTGGGTAGCCTGGTGTGGGCAGCCCTGGTACCCCAAACCCTTAGGACGCCTCAGGCCGGGTGGGTGTGAGGGAGGCAGAGCTGGGAGGGGTCAGCCCACCCTGTCCCCGCAGCTTTGTCCCCCCTTTCTCTGGGACGTCACGCCCCCATTCACCTGGGGCAGGCCGACCATTAACGCTGGCTCTCAACTTGTGAGGTCGACGTGTGGATGGGCTGTGCCCAAAGGTCTCTCAGCAACACAGACCCTAAACTTTTAGGGCTATCGGGTCGCCTCAGAGTTCAATCTTCTTACTGCAAACAAAGCCTTTCTGAAGGTCTCCCCCTCTCACCCACACGAGCTCAGCGCCCTTTATTTCTGGGCTGTGTGATAAGCTTAAATCATTGTGCTCCCATTTCTTGATCGTCGCCTACTTTGGGCTTTTGTTCCCCTAAAGTAGGATTGAGTCTGGCAAAGGGGCTGAAGTTGAACAGTTTGACCCTTGGAGGACAGTTCAGGCAGTGGGCAGCAGTGGCAGCAGCATTCCTGCTCCTGATCCCACTCGCTCTCCCCCCACCGCCCCTTCTCCCCACCACTCTCGGCCGAGCAGCTCGACCCTCGCTCTGTCCACAGACCACACAAGCGCCTCTGCAGCGTTGTGAGGACTCTGTCACCTTGTGCTCAGTCCTGAGGAGAAAAGTGCTGCATCGCCAACGCTGGCAGCAAGAACTGGGCTGAACCCCAAAAAGGCACCACAATGGGTTATGTACCCCCAGCACCGCCTCTGCCTCACCTCCCCATCACTTTCCATCGGCAGGGGAAGGACAGAAATCTCAGGACAGAGGTGGTAACAGAGGGACAGGCTGGCCCTGTCACAGGTGACTCTGCTTTAAGTTTTAAGCTGCTGAAAAAAAAAATAAAGTCCTTTTGTGCCACTCTCCTGGGATGCTGAGGGGACCTGTGCATCTCCTGCTTTTCACAAGGAGGCGAGGGGAGCATTAAAATGTCTCACGGAGTCACGGAGATGCTCTAATTGAGGCAGCCGCCTGGCTGCCATCGCTCCCGCAGGGAGTGACACAGGGGCCACCAACTCAGTGGGCAGCGAGAGCAAGGGACTCATTTGCGTGCGAGTTCCTGGTGTGCTCAGTGAGATGTTTGTGGTGATTTTGGCTCTCTCACCTGGTTTAGGCTTTTCTACCAGCTGCAAATAAAATCCTGTTCCAAAGCCCCACTCCCCCAAAGTGCCTCAGAGCTGGTGTTTCCACACGGGAAGACAGTGTGCTGGGGTTTTTGTTTTGTACATCCTCACCATCATTTCTTTAACAAGGGCATGGAGTGACAAGGGGGGACGGCTTCACACTGACAGAGGGCAGAGTTAGACGGGATACTAGGAAGAGGGTGGGGAGGCCCTGGCAGAGGTCGCCCAGAGAAACTGTGGCTGCCCCATCCCTGGAAGTATCCAAGGCCAGGTTGGACGGGGCTTGGAGCAACCTGGTCTAGTGGAAGGTGTCTCTGCCCACGGCAGGGGGTTGGAACGAGATGCTCTTTCCAGGTCCCTTCCAACCCAAACCGTTATTTAACAGCACCGAGCAGCCACATCCCGGGGGAGCCCCACACCGTCTATCCCCCCAGCAAGCCGCGTATGAACCGTGCGCCTTCAGTACAGCACCGGCGTGTCCCCCAGAGGGCGAAATCCCCCCTGAAAGGAATCGGGGAGCCAAGGGGAGCTCCCCCGTGCCATCCCCTGCATCCCCTTTGCCCGGGCGCCGCCGGCTCCGCAGAATGAAGCGGCGGCAAAGGGAGCGGGGCCCCGGGCGCGCGCGTGGCGCGGGGATTGGCCGGCTGCGCATCTCATCCCCCCCCCCCCCCCCCCC